CAAGCTCAACTGGACTTGGTTGAAGATACTGGAAGACGTTTCGTCCCTCATCCAAAGGACTTCTTCAGTTCTGACTGACTGGCAGGGAAACTCAGCTATTTAACCTCAGTGGGGTTGTTGGCCCGGGTCATCGATACCGCTGGTTCGTTAGTGTTCCTTGTTGCTGTGACGACAGTCGTTACAGTCGTTGAGACTACCTGTGGCCAAGACTGAACGACCATCGTTAGTATCTTCACCTGAGGCCAAGACTGAACGACCATCGTTGGTATCTTCACCTGAGGCCAATAGGTTACGTTTGTTGAGTTTCCTGGGAAGTGATGAAAGGACAGCATTGTAAGTGGGGGATAAGTGGTGGCGTAGACCCCCTCCCCTGTTCAATGACGGCTTCTCAACCCTGGTGTAGATGGCTTCCTTGACACCTCTTTCAAACCATCCATCTTCTCTGTCTAAAATGTGCACCTGGTGGTCCTCAAACGAGTGTCCTCTGTCCTTCAGATGTAAGTAGACAGCAGAGTCTTGACCTGAGGAGTTGGCCCTTCTGTGTTGAGCCATGCGTTTGTGTAGTGGTTGTTTAGTCTCCCCAATATACAGGTCTGTGCATTCCTCACTGCATTGGACCGCATACACTAGATTGCTTTTCTTGTGTTTGGGTGTGCGGTCTTTGGGGTGTACCAGCATCTGTCTTAGTGTGTTCTTGGGTTTAAAAAACACAGGGATGTTATGTTTGTTGAAAATCCTCCTGAGTTTCTCTGATACTCCAGACATGTATGGAATCACAATGTTGTTGCGTTTGACCTTCTTTTCCTCCTGCCCTGTAGTTTTGTTCTTCTTGGATCTTGTGGCTGTCTTCACAAAGGTCCATTTAGGGTATCCACAGGCTGTAAGTGCCCCCTTCAGGTGGTTCTGTTCCTTCTCTCTGGCTTGGGCGCTTGTCGGTATGTTTTCCGCTCTGTGGTGCAGTGTTCTCATGACCCCTAGCTTGTGCTCCAGTGGGTGGTGGGAATCGAACAGTAGGTATTGGTCTGTGTGTGTGGGTTTTCTGTAAACACCGATCTGCAGGCTCCTGTCCTCTTCAATGTGTACAGCGCAGTCCAGGAAGGCCAAATGACCAAACAAATTCTCGTGTGAACTTCATATTACTGTCCAAAGAGTTGATGTGTTCTGTGTGTGAAGGCTTGCACTTCCTGGCTTTCTCTTTCTTCTTATATATGTCTGACATATGAATTTGTATTGGTTCTGGTCCTTAATGTTCCCATCCTCCACGATACCTTGGACCTGAGGTGGCTATGCATCAAGGAGAAACTCCGCACAGTCGGGGACACCGACTTCACCACTTCAGCTACCGTGGGAACAATGGGCAGGAAGGCAGCGAGGAGCAATAGATAAAATCAAACGCTGTGTGTCTATAGGTGAGAGGAGAGAAAAACAACCATCAAACATTACAGTTTGTTTTTGAGGAAATTTACAGACACCTCAGTCAATGTTACAATTGCCAAAAACATTGGCTAGTCCTCATCATTTTCTTTTGAAACATAACGAGATGAAAATAAGTATATAAAACCGTTTTTCCTGTTGTACTGGTAATTCTAGGACTGACTATCTCCACACTGCAAATACAAGAAAAACAAGCTACCCCTCCCATCCAAATTTGTTTGCATACATTTGTTATACTTTGCGAGTGCACAAAAACAAAATTTCTGCTTCACCTCTGTTACTACAACTCCGTCCTAGAGGAAATCAAACAGTAATTTACAGGGCTCTTTATATTAAACGTTTTCCCAAAGAGCACATGACCTATAACACAAAGAAATTTAGTAGCACAGTGAAAAATGTTCAAGGAATACAGCATTTATTAAAAAATAATTTATTATTTACATATTTATTCTATGTGTGTGTGCTCCTTCAGCTTGTGTGTAATTATGATGTGAACACCAGTGGAGGAATTTGGAAGTGAAGACCCTGGTATCCGGACCCTTGGCATGGGCCTTTAAGTAGTGAAGTAGTTCCTATCCAGTACCCCCTCAAAGCTTGGATATTTTACTTGAAGACGGCTGACTGATGCTGTACGACTTAAGTGTCAGACTGGTCTCTACCATTTAAGTACAGTTCAACATTATGTTAAAGCCTCCTATGAGTGTTCAATTTAACAAAACTCTAATTTACAGTAAAGCAAATCCTCAATTCACAGTATATCAATAGATCAAATACACATCAACACCTCAAGCAATGAATTAAAGTTAAATCAGTAACTGTAACAACGGATGCAACAGGATGCAGTGCCTTGGAATTAATCAAATTCAAATATATGCTGTTAGCAACAAATGGTGTAGTAAAATTAGAAGATCTACGGAAGCCCTAAGCAGCCATTCATTCATGAATTTTATTTGTTTACCTGAGATAATTTTCTCAAGATAACGAACCTTTGTTTTCCCGACATAATGACATAAATAATTTGAGATCTCAAGAAAAAACAAAAACAAATGATATATAGTGGTTAAGACAGGTTGTCAGTGTGCTGGATTAGGTCAATCTGTAGAACACAGGACTCTGAATCTAAGGGTTGTGTGTTTGATCCTCACATGGGGTTTAAGTCTTTTTTATCCTGTTCAACAAATTAACTATGAAGAAAATGTTTCACATCCTCACAATAAAGCATGCGCATGAGTGTGTGCGTCTCGGCGATTGGTCCACATGGAAAATGTACGAATGTGTGGCCTCTTAGGGCTTCCATACAGATCAGATACCATTCAATATTTTTCACCAACTAAATGTAATTAAATCATCTCAGCAACAGATCATATAGTTGACTTAAAACCGCTCAATCATTCATCAGATATCGGAACTGAGAGGGTTCAAGGTAAGTGTCTCGCTGTTCAACACCAATTTGATCATTTATTATCAAATTATTACTAAAAGTGTCCAACTATCCCAAAGAGGACCCATACCTTTAGATGAGACACTGGCATTCGGGGTTCAGAGAAGAGTCTTACAGGAACGGTCTTTTGATTGTAGGATAAACAGTCTGTTTCAATCTGTTCAAATACACTGACTAGAAACTGAAAACACTGATAGCTTATCTAAATGTTTTGATTTCAACTTTGCTAGGGACAATTCAGTAGTTGCTGACAAGCCCTGAAGCTGTGAACAATGAGCTCTCTCTCTTTCTCTTTCTCTTTCTCCTCTCATGCTCACTCTAAACATATAGGCAGGCTGAGTAACAGTGGGGGTTACGTTACGTGAATTTCAAAGGCAGCGATAGATAGATAGAGGAGGAGGAAAGGCCAACATGGTAGGTCATAGACCTTACTCACACACTGTGCTCATAAATCATTTTTCTGGTTCCCCGTATCTATTTTTAGGGGCAAATGCAACTGAAATGGTGCACATATTTTATTCTGGGGACCCCCTACAGGGGTTTGGTTCACAAGCATGTGACCTTTTTCATCCCTTCTTAAGCTGATGATACACGGAGCAACTTTTAGAGCAATCCTGCAGAGCAACGTTGTAATGAGTAAAGATTACTACCGTAATCCCCTTCCCCGCACAACCGCTCTCCGTTCAAAACATAGTCGGACTTGCCACTAGCAACATTGCCCAGCAACATTGCTCAAAAAGTTGTCCCGTGTATCAACAGCTTAAGTTTGCATATATGAATGACAGTTTGGTTTCAACACATTGACTAACAGGTTGCCCGTTAATCAGAAGGTCGGCGGTTCAATCCCGGCTCCTCCAGGCTGCATGTCGAAGTGTCTCTGGGCAAGATACTGAACCCCGAATTGCCATGGTGGCTGTTCCACCAGTGTGTGAATGTTAGGGTGCTTTCACACTTGGATTGATTGGAGATGTTCCGACACAAGGGGGCGTTTCCCTTTTGGCTCAGTTCATTTGGAAATATGTGAACTGAGCCGAGATCGCCTAGAAGAGGTGGTCTCGGCTCGATTCCATACGAACCCTGGAGCGGTTTGTTTGCAGTGAGAACACAGCCGGCCCATGAACCGGATCAAATCAATGTGTTGCCTGGCAACCGACGCCAAAAGATCGCTTTTCAACAGCTTCGGCAGTGTATTTTGCTAATGTGTTGCGGTATGTTGTTGTGGATGTATTATGTAGGCCTACTGCTGTTGGGAGTTTTTTTTCCCTTTCCTGCTCGACGGAGCGTTCACAACCCCTGTCTTTCATTTTATCACTGACCCTCTTGTAGACTTCAGTGTTCTTGTGTGGTGTGTTCTCATGGAGATTTTCCCCAATGGAAAGCGCGACCTGCACGCATGAGGTAGTGACGTAATGGCGTAAGTACCAAGACCCCTGGAAGGGTGTGCGATTTGGACCGCTTTACAACAGTGCGGTGTGAACACAAGCGACGTATTAAATTGATTCGGAACAAAGTACCTGTTCTGGAACAAAATAAAACGATCCAGATGTGAAAGCACCCTTAGTTTGTGTTTGAGCACTTAGGATGAGTGTGTGAATGTGAACTTTAACTTCAACTAACCAACTTTAGATTCATATTCACCTTCAAATTAAACTCTGGAAAACTTCCAATGAGAATCAAATCAGTTCATTAATACTTTCTGGTTTACTCCTTTAAAACCTCTGATCCTCATGAAAAAACAAGCATTACTCAGAATCCTGTACAACACCAACTTTGGATCATAGTAAATTTAATAATGTTTTTCTATACTGTAATAAAGCCTGGCTGACAGTTATCAGTCATCTGTCAACAATTTTCTGCAGTCTGTTTAAAGTAAAGGGCATTTTTCCCAAACAAGAATAACCAAAGCAGTTTTATTTTACAACTGACAGTAGTTTGCTGATTTAATAACTTCTTGTTCTAATCTCTGCTCCAGTCATCACCCAGCTTCACATTGGAAAATACAAAAAGGACACTAGATGGTGCCCTTGGACCATAGTAAATGAAGGGCTTGTGTGGCGTAGCCTGGCCAGAGTGGCTAGGAAGGTGGTAGGTAGGCAGACTCCAACATCATATGTTTACAGAAGTGATTATTTTATTGACCATGGTCGGCAGTACATGGATAATTCAATCCAAAATAACAAAAGAAAAATAACGCATCAAACTTATAGCAACACTAACACGAGGCACATGTTCACAACCCCTGTTTATATAAGGTGGTCCATTCACACCCAACCGCTTCAGCCCATCACAGCCCGTCACAGCTTGTGACAAAGTCTTAATGTATTATATTCAAAAGAGATCAATGAAGGATAAATAGGCTGTAGCCAGTTTACACTGATTCACACTGCACAGCTTGACATGCTGTGTATGGTTCAGCAATTATCTGGAGACCAACAGGGACATGTTTAAAAAAGCAGTATTTTGTATTTTGTACTTCTCTTTATACAAGAAATTCAAGAAATGAGATGTTGAAAGCTCAGTTTAATTCACAATAAAGAAAAAATGAAATTAAACAAAAAGTAAAGTACAGTAAAATGTAAAAAACATAATATGTATAATAATTTTCAGGTTTTTAATTCTGCATTGAATCATTTTTATAGTTAAGGTGATGCAAAATATAGATTAGTTCATTTTATACATGTGTACATGTTTTTGATTCATTTTTAAAGCTTCAGTAATTAAACATAATGAATAATCGCAGATTAAAGACTTTGTGTGAATGTCCCAATTTGTCACCAGAGTTGTATTTTTCTTCCTCATACAGGTAGAACCACACCGACACATCTGTACTCACAGATGTAGTACAGAGGCAGATGTAGATGTGGTGGGGCTAGATATAATGGACCAGATGTTTAGTGAGAGGGGAAAATATCATGGTGAGATGGCCAGATGTGGGTGTGAAAGGGGAAGATTTTAATTGTGACGGGACGAAGTGGTTGAAGCAGAGCGGGGGCATGGGCAGTTGTCAACGTTTGTGAAGAACACAGTCTCAGGACACTGTGTTTCACGAAACACATCTATCCCCAGTTGTTGTTTGAGCTCTCCCAGAGTCTTAGTTGGCAGAGTTTTCTTTTCAGATAAAATTTCTGGATCATTGTTGCCCCAGTGTGCGTTTGCGATCCATTTCTTCTTTTTGGAGTCAAAGCAGCAGAATGCTGACCAGAGCGTGTCAGGAATATTAACCCTGTTATTGAGTTGTTTGTTGTTGTTGTTGGGTTGTGCTCCAGTTACCACATAGGCTTCAGTAACACCATTGTTGGTACAGTGCCGGTCTATAATACATTTGACGCACTTCTCCATTTTGGACCAGCTTCCCTTGTTGAATGTTTTTTGTTGTGGAACAATGTTGGTCAGGGTGTAGGTGGACATTTTGCCAGATATCTGGAACCCATAAGAGCTTGCAATTAAATGGCCCCTGGTAAACCCTTTTTGGTCTTTGTAATCATTGTCCCCAGCCTGGTTGTTGTAGGTCCTGTCTCTTTCTACATCCACCATGTTCTTGTTCTTGTCTTCTTCATTCTCAAGCTGTAGGAGTTAAAGATGTAAGTTACTGATGCAGGCAGGATAGTAGTAAAGTAAATTAAATGTGTAGTAAAATAGCATTTAATTACAGCAGCATGGAAAGGCTCAGCCTGATCTCTTCGTCCTCTGAGCCATAGAGCTCCGTTATTGTACCAAAACCATTTAAAAACATCAGTGAGCATTGTTGCATGTTCCTTTTATTAGCATGAACACACACACCGTAGTTTACTCTGACTCAGTCCCACATACACCGTCCTGCTGCCCCAAATACTCACTAAAGCACCAAATGTGAATTCATCCACTGCTGAAAATAGTCCCTAACGAATTAACTATTTCTTCCTGTTTCAGTAACTTAACCTTAAAGCTGTTTAAGGAAATAACTTAGCCTTTTTAAAAATTAAATGATATATTTGTGAGATGTTTCTAAAGATTTAGGAGCCAAAGAAAGAGTAGAGAAGTCAGAAAGTATGTTGCGTGATGTTGGTGTAATAAAAATATAGAATATCAGCTGCCTTATCCTTTAATTTTAATTAATAATTATACAATGTCATTCTGTGTCCTTCTATAGATTAGCAGTGAGGTGTATGCGACTGCACTGCAGCCTGGAGTCTCTGCAAAACCATAAATTCACCAGTTAGAGTTGTTTTAACGTGAGAGAGCTCAACCTGGGTTAAACAAGCATTTGGTAGACAAGCATCTGACATGCATCTTTTGTAAAAAGGACAGTAAAAGTAGTTGTTGTATGCAGCATGATAATGATTACTTCACTGGTTTAGTGGTACTGTTAGAGCAGGTGTCAAATACGATCCCCACGCTTTTGTTATCAAGTCGAAAAGGAGAAAGCTGGAGCCTTTCTCCCTTTGGCAACAACAGTGAGTAAAGGGAAGTGTAAAGTTCTTTCTTTCAATATGCATAACAAAGAGCTGAGCAATGCTGTAAGCAATGAAATTAATGACTGAAAAAAGATGATTTGGCATAAATATGATGCGATGATGATTGAAAAAGAGGATATCTGATTGATAATGAACATAAATTAATTAAAATGATAATTTCATGGTAAAATAATTAATATGGTCTAAGTAAGAACAACTATGGTAAAGGTTAAATAATTGTGTGAAGAGTTGCTGAGTTTGGGTGAAGACATCAGGGACGGAAACTGAGAAGTGGAAGGACCAAACATGGACACATCCTGGCTTACACACATACGCCAACTTACACACACAATTACACCAAAGACAAAATGAAGAGAGAATATACGGATAAGCAGGAGATAGATCAGCGTTATTCCTCGGCTGATGTCAAGGCACCAAGCTTGGATCGGGATCATCGGCACATTCCTGAGTTGGGGATTTGAACAGCAAACAAAACCAGAAGACACTTCAGACTTTTGAATACAGAAGCTTCTACAACAGTCCCCAGTCATACCTAATAGGGTAATACCCACAGGCCTGGAGGATCGGACCGTTTAAGATGGAGAGGTGGACCAGTACCTCCTGGACAGGGGTAATTTGGGATCTAACAACAAAAATGGCTCTACCTGTGGCTCTATCATCCACTCGTTTGAGGTCTTTCCTTCTCCTTCCCCTCTGTACTTTAAAGCAGAAAACACTGGGATCCTGTTCTTGGTGTCGTAGAGCGTCAGAAACTTTCTCTCGTCTTCCAAAGTCTGGCATATGGGTTTGTATCGATTCTGGTCCGTAATTTTCCCGCCCTCCAAGATGCCTGGGACCTGTGGTGGCTTTGCTTCAAGGAGAAACTGGTCACACTCAGACACCGACTCAACAACTTCAGCCACTGTGGGAACAATGGGCAGGAAGGCAGCGAGGAACAAGAGATACCACATCTTCATAGACGTCATCGTCAAACTGTGTGTCTTTAGGTCATAAGGGAGAAAAACAACCATCAAACATTAGTTTGGTTTCTTCAGTTTGAACCTCAGCAATAAAAGTTAAAATAAATAATTCTTTGGATTGAAGAAGGTGTGTTGAACATTTGTCTTGTCAGGTCAAGCTTTAGTTTTCAGCATGGGGCCTCAAAGCAGGGGTGGAGAGAGTACAAAAATATTTTAATTGCATGATTTTCTTGTGATTAATTGCGATTAATCACGTTGTTATATGTAAAATTGAATAATGAATTCTAAAGTAGTGCATTGCGCACTTTTAATAGAAATTTACTGCTATACACACAAAAGTTCAATAACGTGCGGTTTGTGAACACTTTAAACAAACAATGTGCTTTTTACCAGCAGTTTTCCCTTTACACAGTAGCAATAAAATCTCAACTTAAACATTTATGTAATCAAATCAAATATTAAACCAAAGCTATTTGTCACTGCCAGGGCATTACCTTTTATCTAGCTTGTTAAAACAAGTTACCATCAGAGTCCAGTTTTCTTGTGTTTTTTTCTGAGCAGGTATCAGCAGAAACATTTTTCTTTTATCATGGAGCAGCAGAAACAGTACACAACTTGTACAAAAAACGTGGAGGGCCTACGTGACTTTTTTAACCTCCTAAAACAACTTGTTTTTACTGATTTAATACCTAGGCCTACTTATTTTATTAAATCACAGTCGTCACAAGCCAGATTTTAGTTGTGTTAGATGTTAGAGACCTTTTATGTTATTATGAGAACTTTTGAGAATGTTTTCACTTCATGTTGATATTGTGGTGGAACAGATTAGACTACGGCTACTGGACTGGGAAAATGGGAAACACAGGACTGCATATGAAGTTGTATCCCTATTTACATTCAAAAAGGTGGTCATTTTAATTGGAATTCATTGGTGTCAGCATAACTAATTTATAATTAACATGGGCCTAAGCATAATTAACCAGTTACCATCAGGTTGCTAGTGCCAACCAACATTAGCAACATCATGCAATGTCTTTTTGGCTAATTTGAGCAAAGCCTTTTACCAAACTATGAAAACTTATTTTCTACTACATGTGGCACAAGCAGGGTGCAAACTATGGGAGAGTCAGGGGCAGCTTGGCTCCTCTTAATAATATTTTACACGTTATTTTTGCCATTTTTGCCATTCATTTCTATTTTTCCGTATCAGCATTGATCGTGTGTAAAATCAGGAGCGTCTGGCTTCACCCAGCCAGAGGGAACAATCCCCGACCGTTCCCTCTGCCTGGATATAGCCTGACGCTCCTGTTTTGGGCATGATCCATGTGCTAAGCTGGGGAGTCTCTGCAGCAAGGGTCACGGTCAGTCCTGTGTATGAGACATGCGCAAACATGATTTTCTTTTTCTCAGTTACGTCTGTGATTGAAAATGTAGCGAAGCATAATATTTCAAACAAAACATACTTAAGTAAAAGTAAAATTGCAGTTTAAAAAATTACTCAATTACCGTAACGCAAGTAATTGCAATTCGTTACTTTCCATCTCTGTATATTACCTATTTATTTTAAATCTTTTCAAAACCAAAACCAGAAACTTTTGGGAAATTTACACAAACATCAGCTAATGTTTCCTTATGCCAAGCACATTGGTTAGTCCTCACCCTAGACTATTTTCTTTCGAAACATTAAATGATGAAAATAAGTAGGATATGTAAAACAGCCAAACAGGTTATATATGTAGCGGGTTTGTGGGTGTGCGAATGAGAGGGAGCACGCGGCAAAAAGTGACGGCAAAAGTTGGCAGAGGAAAAGATTAGTAGTAAGTTATCAGTCTGGCAGTAAATGTACGGTGCAGGGCTCTCAAGTCTTACACATATACTGTGAGACACGCATTTCACTCAGTTCACACACTCTCACGCCACACCTTGTATTTCTCACGCAAGTAAGAGATAAAGGCCACCAAATTGTGCCACTATATACAATTAATGGTGGAGTTGCAGACATACGGAATGAGGTTTTCTACTGTCAGCGTTAATGCCACCTACCAGCCAATCAGAAATTAAAATCTCAGGGCGTCATATACCGTCGATTTGAGAAAGAGTGACAAAGCGTAGGTATTTTGTGTGAGACGCACCGGGTGTGTCGGTGATATGTCCTAAGTTGTTTAACACATCTAGATGTGAATACCAGGAAATAAAAGCTGAAATTCTGAACTCTTGTCTCATACTCATCTTTTGATCTTAAACCCAAATGTCTTCAGTGAACAACAAAAGCAAAGGAATTTGTCTTACTGTTCCAAAACTTTTGGAGGGAACTGTATAACTTCAGAGCTCAAGAAAACAAATTCAGTCAATGCGTTATCACAGGAAACTGAGTAAATTAAAAGTATGAATGGCCGCTTAAGGCTTCCATACAGATCAAACACATTTGATAAATATTTTCCACCAACTGAATGTAATTAAATCATATCAGCAACACATCATATAGTTGACATATAATTACTCATATTGAGAGGGTTAAATTTTAGCGTTTCTCTATTAATCTCCAATTTGATCATTTATAATTAAATTATTACTAAAATTGTTCACCAATCCCAAAGAAGACCCATACCTTCAGAAGAGACGCTGAGGCAGTTCAGAGAAGAGTCTTACAGGAACTGTCTTTCGATTGTAAAATTAACAATCTGTTTTTATTTAAAGCTGAACAAATCTAATATAGTTAATTAAAATCCTCAAGCAGCAAGAGTGAGAGAAACTTTTTCATTTACCGCTCTTATACAGTGGGGATGAGGAAGAACTCCAGAGATCTAAATATGGTAAAACATGAAATACAATAAAGACATTGGTCAATTCTTCTACGTCAAACACTTACAACACATGACCAGTTGCAAAGAAAAGCCATTTTTTTTAAAACATGAATTAGACATGGTGTTGATGTCAGATAATTCTGGTGACCGTTACACAGGATATTCAGAAGTGAGAGAACTGAAGCTGTCATTAGTGTAGGTCACAAGTATGGACAGATCATTTCAGCAGGATGTCTGTGGTTACAAGTGTTGCTTTTCTCTGCAGCAGCACAGCTGTCAGAAAGCAAAACCACCAGTCACAGTTTCATTTTGTTTTTAATTTGGGGTGGTGATGGGGCAATGGATAAGACACATTCCTTTGTGTGTGAGAGACCCAGGTTCAATTCCGCACTGAGCAAGACACTTAATCCCTATTTGCTCCAGAGGCATGCAACCTCTGACATGTATAGTAATTGTAAGTGCTTTGGATAAAAGCGTCAGTTAAATGTACTTTCACAGTTTTTATGTTGTCAGTATTTAATTATTGTCCTTAATTTGGTATCAAAATTCATATGGGGAAGTGATGGGATGCCAAGTTCGGCCATAACTCGTTTATTTGAACCCATGGCAATAATGTCAAAGCTTTTAAAACATTGAAACAGATTTTTTGAAAATTTGACACACTGAAAACAGCTTTTAACTCATCAAAGTGATGTGAGAAAAACACTCATCACAGAAAACTCTACAGTGATTGGTGCAATGCTGCTTGTGGAATGGGGGACTAGGGATGTCAGGGGAACCAATACTTCGGTACCAAGTCGATACCAAAGTTCTGCAAACATGACGGTACTCGATTTTTACTCATAACACACTGACCTACAAAACACTAACAACACGGAGCATAATGTAAAACATGAACTTTTTTCTTTGAATATGACTGATTTCTTCTTATAAATCAGTATTTCACTATAGAATTAAGGACTTAAGGACTCAAAGGCAGACTCGGAACAGTTCGAAGGGGTAACAAAGGGTTTTATTGAAAAGTGCAACCGAAGACGGGTGGTAGGTTCCAACATGGCAGGATGGAGAACACACAGGAGGGGAGTTTGTCCAGGCAAGATGTGAGCAGAGCAGGGTGTGGCGTTCAGCAGAGTTCAAGGAGGTAGCGTGATCCTAGGCACAGAGGAAAACAGGTTAATCCAGGGAGACACAGAAATTACAAGGAATCTTACTGGAGTAGACAGTTGGCCTTGATGCATGTACCACATGCGGTTAGCTGACAATCTGACAAAGAATGTGAGGAGGACTGGGGTTGAAATACTGCAGGAGCTTGATTAGTGGAATGAGGACCAGGTGCGCCACTGGAGCCAGAGAGTGTAGCCACGCCCAGACAAACACAGACAGGGAGGACAGACAGAAAACACAGGGAAGGGGGGGACAAAAGAACACAAGGTAGTGGGGAGATTCTGCAGTACCACAACAGAATACAGTTTTTCTCAGTCACTTTGCTGCTTTTCTCAGATCAGAATTGAAAATCCCAAAACTACTTGTTCAACCTCCACATCATCTAATCACTTGTGCACATCATAAAAGCAATTTGGAATTCTTTTGACACATTTAGGCAAATGATTATTTACAACTGCTGTTCCTACAGTATCAATTGCTTATGTCATGTTGATCACAATGCATTAAACTGATTCTCTGTTGAATAGTCTCTTTTTCTACAACTGCTCCCACACATTTTCAAAACTACGCCTCCTTTTTTTCAAAACTCTACACAGTTCTCTATGCTCATAAAGGTAAATATAAAATGAAGAAAATATTCTGCTACGATTTTTATATTTCACTATGGTTGCTGCAGAAATGGACATTTGCCATCATTCACTTTTAAATGTTGTGATGGAAATTTGAGATTTTTCTGTGTTTACTGTTTCACCTGCACGCTTCATTATTACAGACCAATGTTTTTGATCATTTTATTATGTTACAGCTAGGTGAAGTTTCCCATGGGAAAGATGCTCGTTGGAGAGTTTTTCTTATCTGACTGTCCATGATAGGCCTTCATCTCAGGACAGTTGGTCCCTACTCCCTTCCTCACTAACATAGCTGAGTAATATAAAGTCACCTGTTTCTTCACTGGCTCTTTGTCTTACACTCTGCAGACTGTCTGACCCAATTGCACTCTGTATGTCTGTCTGACCCTTTGCAAAGAATAACACCCATAAAAGATGTCTGGATTGGACTCTTTATTTCACAAGACTCACTAAAGGACATATTTCCATTACAGTGTTTTTACAGTTTTGGACACAGTGTTATAGTATAATATATAATGTTTTGCAGGTGGAGGATTTTGGAGGAAGTAAGCATTGAAAGCATTTTGTGTGAAAGCAATGATTCACAGTTTGGTCCACATACACTTCTGTTTCGCTGACTGTGTGAAAAGTTTTGACACTGTGACTTCAGTTTGACCAATACAGGTTAACACTGAAGAAAAAAAAATATTTCATTCATAGGCCTTTCATAGGCTTATGTACATTTCCATACATTGTTCTGGAGTGAAAGTAATCTGCTGAGAGGTTTGAAAACAGTCAAAACACAAAATATTTATTTGCAAAACGTTACAGTTGAAACATTAGCACAGTGTTGTATGCAATAGCATACAAGAAAACAAAAACATAATCAATCAATCAATCAATCAACATTATTATATAGCACTTTACAGCAACCAACAGGTATCCACAGTGCTTTAAATTGCACAAGTTGAAAATGTGAGATGGATGTTTGACTTAGACCAACATAAAGAGCGTTGCAATAATCTAGCCTTGAACTATAAAAGGCATGAATAGCCTTTATAGATTGTGCCTGTTAAGAAAAGGCTAACTTTAGCCAGGAGACAAAGTTGGAAGAAGCTCATTCTGACAACATTGCTAATCTGCTTGTCAAATTTCATGCTACCATCGAATGTCACACCCAGATTTTTGACAGTTTACTGGCGTATGAAGGCAAAGCTCCCAGACTGAAATTGTTTGACCTGAATTTGTACTGAAGATAATACACTCAGTTT